TTTTTTTTTTTTTTGTAATCTATACCATATAATTATTTCTTTTATGTATCCTGTTTAATACGATGAGAGTAACTTATATATATATTCTGGCATGGTATGGTAAATGCTGACTGGTGAAGGAGTCATTGCTAATCCTGCGGTTAACTAACCCATCATGGGTACGTTTCGCTGTCAAACTGTTACCAGCTGCCAATTTATGAGGAAAGAAAATAAGTAAATCTCAACGGAAGGTGGTTACAGAGCAGAGATTAAGAACAAACTGCCGCGAGCSAGATTTCAAAGTATGACTTAAATCTCAGGAGACTGTTTGGAAACTAATCCCATTTTGTATAGATCTTGCAGCCCGTGTAATGTTCTGACCCAACTGATTTTGAAGGCTAAAATATTTCAGAATTAGTGGCTAAGTTTTTCTTAGCTGCTTGTTTAGCCAGAGTTTGGGGAAGTTAGGAGGGAATTTCGTAGTTCAGACAGTTTGTACAAAAATAACGTTAAAGTATCCATAAAGGGCAGCTTTCCTTTTTTATATATTGATGAACTGGAATATTGATGAATTGCAAGTGTTGCTTTTTTCTTTACAAATAACATATAAGAGTATTTCTTGTCTCAAGAACTTATGCTGGTATGTTACTTTAGGACTATTTATCAAGTTAACTTTTCCGTTTCTCCTATGTAATGGAGATGAGAAACCAGTTCTTTTTGCATTGTAAGTGTCAGGATATCTGGGCTATTCCTTTTTTCCATGAGCAAAAAAAATGTTCTTCGGGTAATTGCAGGAGCACAAGGCTAAAGATCACCATAATGTTGCTTGGGCTCTTGGCACTGAATACTCTGCCAGGAGAGGCACAGGCTGCCATGGACAAGGGTGCCCATTAGCTTGGGGAGGTTGTGCCCCGACTTGCCAACCAGCAAGGTTGTCCAGCCAGAGAGGCAGGACAAGTGGAGTTCTCCAAGGGAAGCACCGGCTRCACTGCAAGTGCACAAAAATGACATTTCTCATTCGCTCTAAAKTAAAGGGAGGTTTCAAGGCTGGTTATTAATGCTATAATCTCTTTAATAAGCTGTTCGAAACACTTGCAGTGTTGTAGTGGGCTGCTTAGCATAGCGCTGGCTGCTTTGCACACTGAATAACTGTGCAAAAAGAAGGAAAAATGCCATAGAGGTCAAGGCAGAGGGAGTGGGAGGCTGTCAGCCCCTGTAAATGAAGTCCCTCTGCCTTGGGAATTATCCATCTTGCCTTTGCGGAGCCCAGCAGTCACAGATCCCTATGCACAAGTGCTGCTCGTCCGTGGCTCCTTTGGAGGCTGCTCTGGGGTTATTGCAATGGAGCAAAAGTGCAGGAATGTGTGTGCAAAGGCAGCAAGTGGGAGAGCTGAGGCCTAGCACTGGAGCATACACAGGCTCAATGTGCATCAGTTTTCTGAGACCGGAGTCTTGGGGAAAATGTCTCAGATTGCCAACTCTGAAACTGGGGGAGAGTTAAGTTTGGGGAAGGGGGAGTATCTAGACTCAGCTCATTTTAAATATGTCCCATCACCACAATTACACCTGACTTGAGAATTTTGAAAATTACTGTATGTCAAAGACTGTATCAGGTTGTTTTCTGGAATTAGAAGACAGTCTGCTCCCAATACCWATGAAGCAGCTTTGTGAGATATTGTTATGAAGTGTTGAGTTTACAACTGTCACAGATGTTTCTTGACTTTGAGGACAACAAACAGAAGAAGGAAAACTTTCCAATTGTAGCAAAAAGTTAACATTCAAACACTGCTGTCTGTTAATGGTTGTAGCATGGTGTTCCGGATCTCAGGACTGGTGCAAACTAAGCCAAGAATGCATTTTCTCCTGAACTATTGGGACCAAATTCATCTCATGTAATTTACCTGTATGATTTTCTGTCTAGCATGTAGGAATTAGAGTGTTTCCAAACTGTTCCAGCTAAAAACCTTTTATGCCGTACTACAGCAAAGTGATTGATGACAAACAGCATTATGTAAGTTTATATTCTGTCACCTGTAGGACAGAGTGGAAATATTTTTAAAAGGCACAGCCCCAGGTTCTAAAAGTACATAAAAGATAAATAACAGATACACTTGTGATCAAACATATATTAATCAGAAGAACAAAACAAAACTTCCAACTCTTCAACTGCATCATTTCCCATGTGCMTATACAGAGAAAGTCCAGAAAAAAACTAAGGGAATATTCTCCAGCAAGTGGCAAAAAAGGTAGTACTTCATAATATTGCAAGGCAACAAAAAGGCACAAACCACCACCCGTGACTGAAAAGGGTGAATGCAAAGTATGACAAAAATAATGAACTTTAATTTGCTTCTCATACTAACACATTACAATCACACTTCTTTCATGCAGATGCTAGATGAAAATCACCATCTAATACAATGTATTATGGATTATCAGAGCAAGGGGAAAACTGCAGAATGTACTCAGTGAGTATTACGAGTTTTGGGATATGGTAGTTTTTTCCTATGCTTTTTATCAGAAACAGTATTGTAAAGAATAGCTCTGTTCATTGCTTTTTTGAAAAACATTTAACTATTCCTTTTTAGATTCATTTGAATTAGGTGAAGTATTACATATATAAAGTATACATTGGTACTGGGAACTGAGAGGTTTTTTTCTGTGACGTTCTCTGATGACGTTCACCTCATCAGAGGTTTTGACCAGCTTGTATGGCTGATCTTCAGAATTAGATCAGATT